AACATATTAAAAACATTTGGAGAATATATTAAAAATACTTAGAGAACATATTAAAAACATTTAGAGAATGTATTAAAACATTTAGAGAATGTATTGAAAACATTTGGAGAACATATTAAAAACATTTAGAGAACATATTAAAAACATTTGGAGAACATATTAAAAACATTTGGAGAACATATTAAAAACATTTTGAGAACATATTAAAAACATTTGGAGAATGTATTAAAAACATTTGGAGAACATATTAAAAACATTTGGAGAACATATTAAAAACATTTGGAGAACATATTAAAAACATTTGGAGAATGTATTAAAAACATTTGGAGAACATATTAAAATCATTTAGAGAACATATTTAAAACATTTAGAGAACATATTAAAACATTTGGAGAACATATTAAAAACATTTGGAGAACATATTAAAAACATTTAGAGAACATATTAAAAACATTTAGAAAACATATTAAACACATTTGGAGAACATATTAAAATTATTTAGAGAACATATTAAAAACATTTAGAGAACATATTAAAACATTTGGAGAACATATTAAAAACATTTGGAGAAACTATTAAAAACATTTGGTGAACATATTAAAAACATTTAGAGAACATATTAAACACATTTGGAGAACATATTAAAAACATTTAGAAAATGTATTAAAACATTTAGAGAATGTATTGAAAACATTTGGAGGACATATTAAACACATTTGGAGAACATATTAAAAACATTTAGAGAACATATTAAAAACATTTGGAGAACATATTAAAAACATTTAGAGAACATATTAAAAACATTTGGAGAACATATTAAAAACATTTAGAGAACGTATTAAAAACATTTAGAGAATGTATTAAAAACATTTAGAGAGCATATTATCCATCCATCCATTATCTTTACCCGCTTATTCCATTTTGGGTCACGGGGGTCGCTGGTGCCCATGTCCAGCAATCACTGTGCGAGGGGCGGGGTACACCCTGGACAGGTCTCCAGTCCATCACAGGGACACATAGAGACAAACGAGACAAACAACCATTCACTCTCTCATTCACACCTAGGGACAATTTAGAGTTACCAATCAGTCTAACATGCATGTTTTTGGTCTGTGGGAGGAAACTGGAGCACCCGGAGAAAACCCACGCATGCACGGAGAGAACATGCAAACTCCACCCAGAAAGGCCCCTGGACCGGGGTTTGAACCAAGGACCTGCTCGCTGAGAGGCAGCAGCTCTACCAGTTGTGCCACCGTGCTGCCCGAGAACATATTATAGAACACAAAATGTTTAGAGAATGTTTTGAACAAACTTTGAGAAATCAGATTAAAGAATGTTTCGAAGAACATTTAAGAGAACGTTTTAGAGAAGTTACTAAAAGTTCTACAGAACATTTTAAAGAATGTTTTGAATCCAATCAGCTACTTAGACTACAAGCATGTCTTAAAGACATAAAAACCTGGATGACCCTTAATTTTCTCCTGTTGAACAGACAAGACTGAGGTTTTGGTTTTTGGACCTGAGCACCTTAGGAATGAATGTTTCAGTCTTTCTCCCTCCTTAGATGCATTAATCTGTCCTCCAGCTCTAATGTTAAAAATCTTGGTGTTATTTTTGATCAGGACATGTCTTTTATCCCCCACATTAAAAACGTTACTAGAACCTCCTTCTTCCACCTGCGTAATATCACTAACATTAGAAACATCTGATCTAAAGATGATGCAGAAAAACTGCTCCATGCATTTGTCACGTCTAGACTGGACTATTGCAATGGTTTATTATCTGGGTGTCCAAATACTTCTTTAAAACGTCTTCAGTTGATCCAAAATGCTGCTGCCAGAGTCTTAACTGGAGTTACTGGGAGAGATCATCTCTCTCCAGTTTTAGTTTCTCTCCATTGGCTCCCTGTCAAATCCAGAATAGAATTCAAAATCTTACTTCTAACCTACAAAGCTCTCAACAACCTAGCTCCATCTTATATTACAGATCTTATTGTTCCATATTTTCCTAACAGAGCACTCCACTCTCAGACTGCAGGTTTACTTGTGGTTCCTAGAGTTTCCAGCAGCAGAATGGAGGAAGATCTTTCAGTTCTCAGGCTCCTCTCTTGTGGAACCAACTTCCAGTTTCTGTCCATGAGACTGACACATTGTCCAGTTTAAGACTGGGATTAAGACTTTCCTTCTTGATAAATCCTATAGTCAGGGTCGGCTTGTTACGCTGCTATAGACTTAGACTACTAGAGGACAAACTGACCACATTTCCTTAAATTAATTGTTAAAACTGAATATTTTTCATTTGGTACTATTTCTATCTTAACATGTGATTCTTGACCTGCCATTGTGTATCTATTCCTACCAAACCCAGCCGGTCGAAGCAGATGGTCCTCTAGTCCTGATCCTGGTTCTGCTAAAGGTTTCTTCCTCATGAGGGAGTTTTTCTTTCCACTGTCGCCTTCATGCTTGTTCAAGATGAGAGTTCAGTGATGGAGTTAAACTCAAAGCTGCTCCTCAGATCAATAATGTTCAATTATTATTTTATACATGAATGTTTCTGTTAAATTATTATTTTATACATGAATGTTTCTGTTCAATTATTATTTTATA